ACTGAAAAGAACATATACATGAAAATGTTTTATTTTGACATAAAATAAAAATAAAATAAAAAACGAAAACAGATGGAAAGATCCAAAATTTTCACCAATCAAAAAATTACAAATATAGCTTAATTTAGATCATTAAGTCTCAAATTTTCTAAAATCTTTTAGACATGATAAATAAATAAGCTTTGAATCTAGTCTTGACCTCCGAATCTAGTTGGGACCTTGAACACCAACAAATTTCGTCTTCTCTCTGCTCCATGTGTATGCTACTTGTACATCTGAAAAAATATGTTAGAGGTGTCAACAAAGATCTCTCCAAATAAAAGCGGAGAATGTTGCAATCATACACACTCTGATGCTCAAGTCAATAAATGGACAAGATAATTTAATTTGGGAAAAACACTAAAGACAGACAACAAAGGGAGTCGAGTTTGATTTGTAAATTGAGAATTAACAATTAGCAATTGTCTCGAATTTTGGAGTCCATCCAATATGGCTAAGGTTCGGTCCCCGCTAATTGTCTTAGAAAGGAGAGAAAAATTCTACACGGAGTTATGCTATCTCAGATGTTGTTGTCGGTGAGGCGTTGATAGCTAGAAGATGAATATGGTCAATGTGATATAAAAGCGGAGAATGTTGCAATCATACACACTCTAATGCTCAAGTCAATAAATGGACAAGATAATTTAATTTGGGAAAAACACTAAAGACAGATAACAAAGGGAGTCGAGTTTGATTTGTAAATTGAGAATTAACAATTAGCAATTGTCTCGAATTTTGGAGTCCATCCAATATGGCTAAGGTTCGGTCCCCGCTAATTGTCTTAGAAAGGAGAGAAAAAAATTCTACACGGAGTTATGCTATCTCAGATGTTGTTGTCGGTGAGGCGTTGATAGCTAGAAGATGAATATGGTCAATGTGATGGTAGATGGTCCCATCGCTTTGAACATGAATGCAGAAACGAAGATACTTTGGTTGCTACTTACCTTGAAGAGTAGGTACTGGCATGGTGTTATGCGTACTTGGAAGCCACGAGGCTTATCACATAGTCGGAGGTATGAAATAATCTCCCAAGTCCAAGATCTGATTATTCATATGAGGTGTGGCGCTTCAAAGATATATGATTTCAAAATTGCATGTTTAGACCCTATTGCAGAGGCCTATTGCACGGGTCGACGAAGTGAGGAAACTTCTTTTATATATACTTGAGTTGAGGCTACAATGGAGCCAAAATGCCACAATAGATCTCCAAGTCCAAGCGTAAATATTTATGCAAGGCATTAAACTTTGAAAATGAAGATAGAATAGATAGGTTATGTATTACCTTTACAGTAAAGCCCCATGACATGGTGTCTTGTGTAATGGTCCTACTTCAAGGTGGCTTGGCACAAGCGTACGTAGTGACTGAAGTGGGATTCAATGGTCAATATGTCTGTGGTAAACCGAAGAGGTAACAAGTGACATGAAGTGAAGGAGTGCATATAGATAATCATGATATTGCATGGTTCCATAGTTGAAATGATAGCTTGAGGTAATTATAATGATTGAACGAATAAGGCATTTGACTCCTGGTGAATGTGTAAATCACATTTAAACTGGTTTCTTTATCAAAACAGTTCGATGCCACTTGGCATTCAATGACTAGAACTGGATGAGGTGTTGAATGGTCGTGATCAATTTTGAACTGATCCATCGATTGAGATTGAAGGTGTTTCGCCTATGTTGGCCCCGGGAAATGGACCTTCCATGTGGCCAACAGAGAGCAATTCTACACATTTCTCCATACAAACTTGGCTCAAACAATTAGCAGTATGTGACCATTTCCAGTGAAGGTGGTAAAAGCCAAGTACACTCTGAAGGCACTGAAAAATTGCGAGTTCTCGAGAGAAAGGAATGTCATCCTCATCATTAAGTTCATATGATTGGCATGGCCCCTTAGAGTTGTCCACATCTACTTCGTGTTAAGGTTGCGATTGGGATGTCTCTTCTCGATTTTCCTAATTCCCTAAGTTTCATCTCTCCTGCCTATTCCTACGTGGGGAGGCTCTTTTCGCTGGTTCTGCCTTTACATACCTGCTGAGCCATTTGTCGCGTGGATTGGTCCTACTCATTGGACTCTGTCCTATTCTGTCGAACACGTTGATAGACCGTTGTATTTCTACTTTCAACAATCCAAAAGATTAACTGGATTTTGGCCAACTTTCACCTGTTCTTTATTCAAGAACACACCCTTTCTTCAAGGGAAAAGTGGTCCCTTTCGGTAAGCTTTATCAATAGTAATAGAGTGATGATGTGGTGATCGCAATTTTTCACCGATGGTACCAATTTGTTGACCCAAGAAATGGACCTTCCACGTGGCCAACAGAGAGCAATTCCACGCATACTCCTTCCTACGCACTTGGCACAAATAGTTAGAAGTATGTGGCCATTTCCAGTGAAGGTGGTTGCAGCCACATACACTCCAACGATCAAGTTAGTTGATGATAATCTGCACAACTGGTTCAGGTAACAAAGATCGTTTGGCTTATTTATCTAAAAAGGGGAAAGAGAAAAAAGACTTGGATTGTAAAGTTACCATTTAAAATTTTAGATATTAGGTACTTATAGAGAGAAGGGTGGAAGTAGAACCATTGGATATAGAATATGTGGATTCATCTGCTGATCCAAAGTGTCTTTTGCTAGGTGTCCATCTGTCACTCCAGAGGTGGGCCGGTATTATTTAATTTTTCTAAATTGGAGTTAATACATTGGTGTCTGCTGTAGAGACGTCAAATCCATCATTAATAAAACGTGTTTGCTGCAAAGACACCAAATCCATCATCTATAAGATTTTATTTTGGATATATCCTTACCCAAAAGATCCGTATTTTTTGCTGAGGCTTCTAGGCGTTGTGGCTCGAAGTATGCTTGCACCTTCCGCATGCGGCTCGAAGTTGTTGCCTCCATTTCAAATAGACCCTATCCATCTCGAATTCTGCCTTACGCACTTTATGTTGGCATTAGGCGCTTAGTGCATTTCGCACATCGAAGTGTGGCCTGTGTTTGATAACTAGCAGCTTCACCACAAGAGGCGTAATAGCCTGTAAGAAGGATTAGGGTTCATTTCGTACCTTTTAAATTTGCTCCCTATGCATTTTTCTCCTTCTGTTTTACTTTTTCTTCTTTAAAAATTGTTAGGATCTTCCTCTAGTTGCTCAAGGTGATTTCCGGATTCAGTTAACCATTAAATATCGAATCAACACTAAGAAACTGGAGGTGACCGACCGTCGGCGTGCTTGTCTTCCTATGGTTGCTATTGCTCCTTTTGCTTGTTGTTTCTTCCACTCACTTAGGATGGATACCACATAGGTAAGGGTCACAAAGACTCAAGCAATAGGTAGAGAAGATCAATCAACACGATGCACAAGAAAGAAGAAGGAAACTGCCTCTCTCTCTCGGGTTCTCAAAATGGGGCTAATAGGAAGAAGAGAATTACCAATATATATAATAGTCCAATGACCAACTTAAGGTAAGTTATAATATGGTAAGTAGGCTCGACTAGGGTTAAGTCCCAATAGCACACCAACAAACCCCAAAGGTTATTAGCCATCCAATAGGTAAAGCAACGCTAGGTCGGGTCATCCCATTATTCGGTGTTGATTTATCGTTCAGTCATTCATGTCGACTGATAAAACTGGTTTTCATCATCGCCCGGGAGGTCGTTTGACAACATGATGTCTAACAAAAACTTATTCAACCATAAAGGCATCGACGTCCCGTATCGATAAAAAGATTGCATTTGAAAAAAGGTAGGCAAGATTTCTAGAAAGCACCCTCCAACATGTCCATGGCTGATGATGCCTCTCCAAGGCGTGACGTTAGAGTAGAGTTGGAGTTGGCTATAGTGCCTGTTGATGGTCAGTATTGATGAGGCTGTTGGGTTGAGCCAAACATTCGAGGTGCTCTTGAAGTAGCCTCTAAAGTTTCGACACAGACATAGAAAAGGCCGTTAGAACATAGTTATTAAATTAGGATTGAACTAGCTAATTCGATCGAAGATTCGATGAATTGGACCCTGGTTCGATCAAGTCAACATAATTAGACCAATGACCCACTCGAACAAACTGAATTTTTCTCAAACCCGGTGAACGAATGGTTTCAGCCAGTTTCATTTTTGCAAATTTTCAGCAAGTTATTTAAAAATTCACAAGTTGAAAAAAAAAAAAAATGCAGGGTTTCGAGCAAAGGACCTTAAATTTGTGAAAGTCATACGTTTTTCCACTAAAATACCCCGTTATTTGATGCAGTTACTATATCCAAATATTAGTGTCCCATATTTCTTTTGGATTACAATTTTTTAAAAACAATTTAATTATTTATTTATCTTTGAAAAAATTGTTCATCATATTTTTTAAAGATAGATAGAAATGAAATATCAAGTGATTTGGAAAACATATAGAACTTCTATTAAATTTAAAAAGAAAAAATGATGATTTGTATATTTTAGTTAATAAAATGATTTTTAATTTATTATCTACTTTATCTTTTTAACTTGTATCTATGCCTTCATTTAAAAAAAAAAAAAAAAAAAGGCTTTATTCTACTTTTCTACCGTGCATTGACCCACTAATCCGGTACTTTGGTCAAGTCAATAATCGAGTCGGATATGATAACTATGTTGTTAAATGTTCGGTGTTCATCTTACATTATAAGGCCCGAAAGCACGAAAGGCCTACTAACCAAGACTGGTGTATTGTTATCTCTTAGGCCATACTGGTTAGTGGGATGAAGCTCTCTCTTCCTTTATTTGTTTGGGGACGTTGAGGTCGTGCGGTTTGGCACCTACACAAATTACTTCCAATGGCTAGAGCCAAATAGTCTGAGCCTTCAAGTTGTGGTACTGATTAAGCTTTGGATAGATGATTCCGTTCTATGTTTTCTAGACCATGCTGCCTTCAAAGGAGAATGATAAGGGCAAAAAATTTAATTCACAGTGTAGTAGGAATTGAAAAGAAAGTTGTGTAAGGATAGAATGACAAAAATAGTATTTCAAATTCACCATTTGATTACACTAAACCCAAAATTGAGATTGCTAAACAAGCCCAAAGTTTATTGCAATTTACACACACACAAACAATATGTAGTTGAAGTACAAATAGCATATATATTACTAGATTTGATGTCCCGAGTACCTCGAACGGTCTTGATTGATTTACAGTGCCGATGTGATGAAGACAGAGGTTTGATCAGTGATCATGGATTCAAGTTCTTTTACAAATTGTTCCATGGCAAGGGCAGGTAAACAAATCGGCACCACTATTCCATCCTCACCCTTTTCATTTCTAAAAGGTATGTAGAAACTTGCTACACCAGGAATGGCACCCACCCCACCTTTGGCTGGTCCTCCATAGAATGCTTTACCCCATCCAAAGTCGACATCCCCGAACCCAGCCCGTGTCACATCTGATACGAGATAAGTCCTCACCACAGTGAAATGCGGTCGCCCTCTAATAACCATAAGATCTGCCAGCGATTTCATGTATTCCTCTGTGACATCGGCTTTGGTTTTCATTACAAGTTCAAGTGCATATCCTAATGGTTTCTTGCATAGATTCTCAGCCGTCGATATTGCCACAGGGAATGCAAATGCATTGCCGTAGTATCCGTTAGGAAGGGGAGGATTGAATCTGTTACGCGCATTCACTATGCAAAGTATGCGGACTTCCTCTTCGGGGTCGGGGGAAATGGCTATTGTGCGACAGCGCCATAGGCAGGCCGTCAATAACTCGAATGAGGAGCAATTCCGGAGTTGGGGAGGGACGAGCTTGCGAAGGTTGTTGACTTCCTTGGAACCGAAAAAGAACGATTTGTGGACCATGTCATCGAGTGGGATTATGGTTCCTTTAGTGTCAGGTACTTGGTCATACTCGTGATGCTTATACGTTACACGTGGTGGTTGTCGGGCATCGAGTAATTCTCTTTGCCACACGGGTAACACGGAAGGGGCTGTTGCGCCTCTGGCAATTTCACCCACAGCCACCATGAATTGGACCAGTCCGCCTGCATCGCACATGGTGTGATTGAGGCGTAAGGCAAAGATAAAACCACCACATTTGAGACGAGTTACCTGCAAATAGGAACATTTTTTGTTAATGAAAAAGTCAAAATATGCTAGCTCTAGTTATCTCTACAATTCTGCATTTACTATAATTCAGAAGTCGTACACAGTTCTTATATTCTATTTTCAAAAATGCTGAGAGTATGCTTTTTACAGGTCTTTTCACATGAGGTGGGTTTCACTTCATTAAAAAAAGGGAAATGCTCTTCTGCCAAAAAGAGGCCGACAGAAGGCTTCACACCCCTCTCACAACCACCGGGCCCCACTTGAATAAACAATTAGGAAGAAGAAATTGCCCCCACCCGAGCTGTGAGTGTAGATAAGGGCTTCTGGCAATTTTTTCTGGCTCTCTAGCATGCTCCTTAAAAAAATACTCCACCCTTTGTGTTGTGAGGAGTCTACGGAATAGAACCCCCACCATCTCATTGCAGCACTTTTCTTCTATTTTCCATTTTCGAAAAGAATAAATACTCCATCCCATTAGTGGAGTGATGAGAAAAATAAAAGTGTTGGCTCAATGTTACTTTGACTAAAATCCAACACTAAAATTCTTTTTCAAGAACAAAATAATGATATCATGGAAGTCATTTTTTCTATGCATTGATTACGTTTGCTTGGTACCCACTGATTCCTCTACCACAAATAATGTTTAGATGCCCAGTAGATTTATCAACCGTGCTACAGGTCCCAACTCGGGGACCGACCAAAAAACAAGGGACTGATGTGGCATCACCTCAGCCCCCGATTTCAACTTCATTTTTTTTCAGATCCAAGGGCCGAGGTGTTGTCACCTCAACACCCTGGATTTTCGTCGGTCCCCGAGTTGGGACAAGTTGCATTTCCCATCAATATATACTTGGGAAAAATATGTGATGCACATGATTCCAATAGTAATAAATTTTAGTATCCCTATAATTATAGCTAAATATCGTCTCATTTAATCACTGAAGTATCACAAAATATTTTCATGTATAATTTTTATGATTTCATATGAAATTAGGTATTTTCACTTTATACTCGAACACTTTTCCAAAATTCTACTAATCTAAAACATATATTCTTTGTTCGTTCCGGGCAATTACCGTGTTACTGAATTTTCATGTGGTATTTTTAATGACAGTTATATTAACATAATTACTAAATCAGTATCTAATATTCCTTAATGACTTGAGATGGCCCAAGTCAATACATCTGGACAACGTATTCACAGCGGTGTTGTGCAGCAAGACACATAACCCCCTCATATGAGAGGGCTCCACGCTGAACGTGGGGCTCCTTCGTATGATGGGATTGTAACATTATACATTTAAAACTATACAAACAATTAAGCCCATTCAGAGTGGACCTCAATAAAAGAAAGGACATGACAATGGATAACGTGGTCACAAATATTTTTAAGTGTAGTACTTTTAGTATTTGTTTGGAGGAGATTCTTTCCTGTGATAATAACTTTTCTAAAAATTTATGATGAAAAAGTACAAAAATATTAATGCAATTCATAAAATATGTGATTGAAATTAAATATAAAAATACTAATTTTAAAAAAAAAATCTCTCCCGAACAAGTTATAATATGTGGTAAAAGGGGCGGGTGGAAAAATCCAACTTTGCTTGAGGCTGCCGCGTCAAGGGTTCGAATCCTGAAATATGGATTTGACTCTTGGGTAAATACAAGTGTACAAGCAGCCTTCCACCGTGTACCCTTGGAAGCATAACCTGCGATTTACCTCCCTTACGATATTCCAGGATAGGGGCGGTGGGGGTCCTTAAGGTTGGGGTTCAACCTTTTAACATAAGACATTATACAGATCATCTTGAAAGTCACAAATCTAAAAGTTTTACGGGTTTTTGTACTGGAAAAAATTAATTGAATTGGCTTAATGACAGGGAATCAGGGAGTGTTTCTAGAGGCTGAAATAGCAATTTATGATTGGCAGATTTTTCTTTTATTTTTTTAACTGCCAATGAAAATTTTCAAGAAATTACTATTCAAAAATTAATTCTTTACAACAAATAAAAAAGAAAATAAAAAGAGTCAAATTAGTTCATACTATTGAGAAATAAATCTCACATTGATTTGAATATCAACATTATAATAATGGGTTTTGCTCTTCTTAATAAAGTTGATATTTTAAAATGAAATTTCACATTTTTAATATGGTATTAGAGTTCATCAAACTTGAAAACAAGAATTTGATCTCACCAAGACTCAAAAATGATTATAGAGATCCCAAGATTGGTCTTGCGGATCATGTTAAACGATAAATCCACGGATTTAATATAAAAATTATAATGAATCCTAAGTCTTAGTGCTTGTTTGCTCTTCTTTAAAGTTTTAAATTATTTGTTACAGTATCATCCTCCACCACATATACATACAATAAAATATTCTACGCACAAACTAATAAAACTTCTTTATTTTTTAAACACATATTCTTCAAAAAATACTATTCAAAATTCTTTAATTTCCCAAATAATGGTGACAAACAGGGCTTAATTCCCACCTTCTTGATCACATAGAGAATTAACATACACGTGTTTACCTGAATAAGCAGCAACGGGCAGTTAAGAACGCCACCGGGGCCGGGAACATCATAAAGAAGCTCCTCTAAACAAGGAAACGGAGGCTGAAGAGCGTCCCCAAAATCCCGGAGACTTACATCAGCATCAGCTCCAATGAACATTACCCCCTCGCCGGTGCAGTCCACCATGAGCTTCCGGCAGGGACCTTCCCGGAGCCGGCCAGCAAACGGGTAGTAAAACACAAGAGTTTTCGCCAGAGCCTCTCTAATGACATTTACAGGGTCTTTCCCTGCAGCCACTAATGAGGGATCATGGCGATAGAACTGTATAACGGGAATTTGAAAACGAAGACCCTCTTGATCGTCAACATCAGAGAGGAGTTTGCATTCAGGGGGTGTGTGTTTTTCTGGACGTACGAGTTCTGGGCTTTGTCTATTAACTTTGAAGGTTAAAGATGAAGCCATAACTATGAAATGACAAATTAATTGAGAAAAATGATGAATGTAGTATGAGAGCTTAATCTGAAAAATGCATGGTGGGAGGGAGTATTTATAGGAGAGTGAAAGGGCAACATTGAATAATTAAGTCAGTATGAACTTAAAGACTATGTCATGACTTGAAATGAGATAAACGATGGTAGTACAAACACAACCTTTTGGTAGGTGGTGAAGAAATTTAAAATTTTATTTTCTTTAATAGTCAAAAACGAAAAATAATAATTTTTTCTAGTAATATTTAATAATATTAGAACAAGTATACAAAGTTGGATATGTTAAATTAAACAAGATTGAAAAACTATAATCAGAAATTATCTAGTGAGCCCCGATGCTCATCTTATTCTATGAACCCGTGACATAATATATTTATTCATTGGTGAATAACAAATTTAATTAAAATTTTGAGATTCATTGTAAGTTGTTTATAAACAAAAGAATTTAAAAAGTTCAAATTTTTTTTTTCTGGGTTTGACTGTCGATCCCATTGTGCAATAAAATTTGAACAATTCATGCCTACAAGTAAGCAAATACCGAAAATGACCTTCTACATGTTTTTCGATAAACCACATAACAGTAATAGGCAAGGGTATTTCGAACTTTTCAACTGGTAAATCTGCGGTAAAAATGGAATGAAATAGTTGGACGAATGGCACTGTCAAAAAATTATATATATATTGAAGTGGTTTAGTTGTTTAAAACAAGTGAAGAGGAAATTTTCTAAAATATTTAAAAGGTTGTCAATTCAAGAAATTAATAACATAACAAATTGATTATAATAATTATTAAATAAATAAACAATCTTGCCACATAAAGGGTCAATGACAGAATTTAAAAACATGGACAGACATATCAAACATTAATTGGACAATTTAGGGGGAAAAAAGGAACAACACAGATGCTGCGTATCAAAAGCCATGTTCAAGCAACATTATTCATAAATAAAAAGTCTATAGCTCTAGTGCATTGTGGGGTCGTGGCTAAGATGAGCATAATGGGGACTGAAGAAAAGACGTCAGCGAAATTAGTGGGAAATGAATAAGTTAGAAGGTAATTGCGGGAAGCATGTAGGGTTCCATCTCTTTTCTCACTCATTTCTTCTATGTTTACTCCCCGTTTTCATATAATTTCCCACTTTCGTATAGTTGCTTTGTAAATTTCATGGCTGCTGCCATCAACTTGACTAAAGAATTTACTTTGACCAAAGATTTTGAAAAGTTAAAATGATTTTTGTGATTAAGAAATTGTTTGAATAATTTTTTTAAAAATATATTATTTTATCAAGAAAATTTTAAAGGAAGCTGATCCAAAATAACTTTTTTGTAAACTAGTTTACAAAAACCAGAAATTGTCTCGAACAAGCTCTTAATCACCTTATTATATTAGGGAAATCATATAGTATTTATAGGAAATTAAAGAGAAAAGAAAGTCTAGTTAACACATATCTACTTACAGTTGACCATTCTAGTAATCCTATAGTCCAATCTAAGCTTGAAGAAATGGTCTCTCTTATTAATCATATTCCTCACTTCAAATTTATGCCTCCGTTTCGCAAATTTATAAATAAAAATCGTAAAAATAAAATAAAATAGTGAATTCCACGAAATATATGAATAATAACGAGTTGTATCCGCCTCTCGGAACACAGCTCAACTGGTGGATCAATCAATATTGTCTTGCTTCCAGCGGCAGCGTGGAGAGTTCGATTCCTGGTGGGAAACTGCGGCCAAATATTTGGTATGGAGTAATTACTGTGGAGGAGGGTCTCTTGTGCGCAGAAGTGTACAGGCAATGGGGGAACCTGTGATCCAATTGAGGCATAACCTGCGATTTACCCCCTCCAAGATTTTAGGGGCAAGGGTCTTCGGGGGTCCAAAATTTAGTCTAGTGTAAGTTGGGATACCTGGATATCAAAAAAAAATGAGTTGTATCCATAATATAGTTAAAATTAACATTTAATATTAATTGAAATTATGAACTAATTTGTAATTATTATAAAAGAAGATTACAGCGAATTCACTGGAAAAATTCGTTGGAATTTGGGTAGACAATTTCTATGAAAGTGCAAATCACATGAGGACGAAGTCAAATAATCAACTTAACTTTAGAACTATTTTTCGAAAATGTTGACTCATTTTTATAATGGAGCGTAACAACGAGTTCTCGGTATAAATTAAAGTTAGCCCCTTTTTTGAGGATTAAAATTGAATTTTTATTAGATTTTAATGAAAATTGATGAAATGTGTGGTTGAAAAATTGTGAATTCTATTAAATATATGATTAAAATTAATTATTAACTTTGACTTAAAAATTGAAATTTAATTTTTAATTCGTATCCAGGGCTTAATCTACATAACTAAGTCTAATAATTCCACAAAGGTAATATTTAAAATACATTTTGCTTATTAACATCTTTTGAGTAGTAGTTAGTCAAATATAATAAAAAAGTCATACTTAAGTGTAACGACATTTAAGATCAATCGTAATAATAAATTTTTAAATCCAACATGTTTTTTTATTACGTCAAAAGTCGATACTTAATTGAGGGATGAGCATATTCTATAATATATGAAGTGTATGATTGAAATTATATACCATCCACCAAGTGTGAATACTAAAACAATCATAACTACTTTTTTATACTTTTTTTTTATTTATCTCGATTAAAATTATCCATCTCTAGCCACTATAAAAGTTAAGCAATAATATTTTTTGTTTGATTTGACCAACGTTCTCTATATGAAATTAAGCGTCTGTTTGTTCCACATTTTTGCCTGACTAAAATGAGAAAATCGAACGTTAGTCTGACACCATGGGTCCTCCAGTGCAATCCCATTTACTGTAGTTTTTACCCCCATTTTCCCACATATGCCCTTTGAATATTGAAAGGTGGTTGAATCTTTCCTACTTTTTGTCCAATTCAATGAGGATAAAACGGGAAAGGTGTGGTAATTTATATACATTTGAAATGATAGCCATGCAGTCGGGTCCACCATGATTTGACATGAAAAATGCATCAGTAGGATGAAAATGGGGATCAAACAGATCCTAAGTTTTGTGACGTTGAAAAATAGTTTCACAATGTACCAAACTAGATTACAGGCATCAAAATTGTTTCGAACTATATTTGTGCCTCGTTTTTCACTACTCAGATATGTCGTTTATACAAAAGTATTAAAGAAGTTTGTTTTTAGGACAATATTACAAAAAATCACGATTGTCAACCACCCGATACGCTTCATTCATTTTCCTAACATCCATCTCTAAATTTTCAACAATTCTTCGCTCGTTCTTATTGTCCTTAATTGAAAGGGTAATGGAAATATTGGAACATATTTGCCCAAATTTTACTAGTTTGAGATAATTATCGTCAACATGAAGTCTATTCTATATCAATATTTAAATATCATAAATATAACTAAAATACTTGCACCTAACTACCTTTTGTCTTTAATGGACTGGTCCTCGTGGAATTTTATCAGAATAATTAATAAACAGAAGCGTGGCATCTTCGTCTTTAATTACCTCTTTTTATTTGGTCAACTATTTCGGAAATAAATATGAAATTTTGCATGAAAACACCAAGTAGTTTTCATTAGGGTCAATTTTTATTGCAGATTAGAATTTATTTATATATTATTTTCTGCGTCTAACTCTTAACATCTGTATCTCGGACAATTGTCGAGTAAAGACACGTGAAATTGAGTATTTACATTGAAAATATAAATATTTATTTTTCAAAAGTTAATGGAGAAATGTACAAGGAGTTGACAATTAAAATCCAATTCAAAGAAAAAGTGTGAACTAAAATAGCGAAGGTAAATATTGAAGACAAACTAGGTTTTCATGATCAATTCTTTTGAGTCTGATTCTCGACGTTATTTGAGACGTTGGATTTAAGTTGAGATGTCTTACATTTTTTGAAGGCGTGCTATATATCCTCCATTCATTTTCTTGTTATGTAAGCATTTTTAAGTGATGTAGCACACTTTTTAGTGCAATCTACAGCTCCAATGGATATGCCCTTATATGTTTGCATTTTAAACATTGTTGACCTTCAAAACTAGTTGTAGAGCGTAAATAGCTCCTGCCTCTACTACTTTCCAAGCAGATATTATTTGCTCACTAAGAAACATTGGACATGCAACATCAGAGCGTCTTCAAACACAAAATGACCAAAGAAGTCTTGATCGTAGATGCTCAAAGGTCTAAGCCAATTAAAATGACAAGACAAGTTCCATCATGCCATGTTGTTGCCTTCTGAATATCAATAGGTCTGCAATCACACATGTCCTAGGATGATAAAAGATTGTTTTGACACCTTTCCATTACAAATAATATCACATGTCACTTCTCACATGGCTCCACATGTCATAATTATCATTTACATGAGGGTTTAGGGTCAACTACTACCACCTTCATCATGAAAGCTTATGTAGGGATGGCAGCGGGACGAGGCAACCATTCTCATCCCCCTCCTTATCAAATATTTTGTCTCCTGGCTTCATTCCCATGGTCAATTAAGGTGGAGCCGGGGCCAGGATGAAATCAAAGAATGGGACAAGTCCGTGTCTCGTTTATCGGCTTATTTATTTATTTTTATTATTTTTTTAACATTTTTATGGTGAAAATATTACTATTTTTCAGATCATAGAAAAATTCACTTTCCTCTACAAATGATAATGATTCTTTTCTTTTATGTGATAAAAAATTTTATTTTTAAATAAACTTTAAACATGACACAGTGTGGCGAGGCCCCCGTTCCCACCGCTATGCCCTGTCCCCGCCCGTGTATCTGATGAGGCTAGGAATCTTGCGGAACCCATGGGTATTGGGTATAAGTGATTTGCCATTCCTAGTCATATTTTAAACAGTTAAGCATTAAAAATCTAGAAAATGCTTAGGAAAAGGATAGTGACAACCCCACATCAAGTTATTTCACTATGAAAATATGTTGACAAGGCAACTAGATGTTCCTCACTGCCTCTGCCTCGGAAGGTTGCATCCTTGCTTAACGGCTGTCACAACACATTTCGTATA